TCTATGAATAAATGAAAATTGTTTAATCATCCAACTATTTACCAGTCCGTTGCTAGTTGATCAACCATTTTTTGGTCGAAATAATTTAGTTCCAAAATATTTTTTAGAAAAATATGATGAACTAAATATATTTTTTCTCAATTTTAGAATTTCATTTAAAAATATTTTATTGTTAAAGTTTCCGATTCGACAAAACCATTATTTCAATTATATAGATATATAAAATAAAAAATGTTAAGATTTGAAATATTTTGTTACGAAAAGGATAGGGTAACCAAAAGTGGGAGACTGCAATTCTGGGGGATATATTTCTTACGCAACAGTTGCAGAGCCTAGTTTGATAAAACAGGAAACTTAATATGAAGAAATATAAAATAATCAATTTCGATTCTGCTCACAGGTAAATCGTTAACTTGTTCTTTAGGTTACGAACCTTCAAAAGCTTTTTTTCTGTTTCTCAATTCTTCATTCTTAAAAAAAAAGGATTATAAAATGAGAAATAAAAATGACTTATCTGTAACCTCGTGAATTTGTGAAAAAATTAAAATTGATGTGACAACATAAGGCCATTTTGTGGCGCGCATAATGTTTAGAATATTTTTAAATTGAAAAAAAAAGTGTAGTAAATGATCCATATATTATGAATGTCGCCAGTCATAATTTTTTTTAAAACAAATGAATCTGTGATATGAAGCTGCCATGAATATCTTACCATTTCGCATGTCCGAGATACTTTCCACTCAGGTATATTGTTACACAGCATTGGTGCCCAACATTTCTCTCCTGTTGAAGAAATATATATAGTTCGATAAAACAACGACACCTCAAGAACATTATTTGCCTTACAAAGTAACAAGTTATTTAAATACAAATTGTAGTATTTTTTTGCTCAATCATCAATACACATTAAACCCCAGAGCAAATCAAGACAGCTATAGTTGACGATTTTAATTGATTGATCTTGTATATCCACAAACTAGAGACTAACTATCACAGCTTGTCCAAAGCTTTGTTCAGAACTTTTGTGTGAATTATTTTACCTGACAAAACTGTCAGTAGCCTATCTAAGGGCCTATAGTACACATATTGAAGAGCCTGTTTGCGCCAGTGCAAACACAAACTCATTGGCTGCATATCGTAACTTATTCTGCAATGATTACTGGAAGAGATGACAAAGCTAACTTCCTAATATCATGATAAAAGTGAAAACAATTACAAAGAGATAAATAGGAATGGCATGATATCATTCAACGAAATTGCAAGTAGCTTAAAAAATCTCGTTAGATCATAGTCTAACTTTTGCTATTTATAACAGCTTAATTAATTAACAATATGCTATTTCGTTGAAAGAAAAAAGATTTTATTTTTATTTAAAACCTTGATACCAATTCGTTAAATCATGTTAGTGGCGACGCCCACTTACGAATCCGAAGTAATAAGAAATCAAAAATAAAAGACTTGCAGTACAATACACAATATTCTAGCAATCCAAAATAAAAATCATTCACGTTATAATTGAAATATTACTAACCTTTAATTAATGAAAAAGCTTCGATAATCAGGAGGAGTCTGGTTAAAAAAACTCGAAGAGAAATTTCCATTTCGAATTCTTTGAAGACTATGCCGACCATTCTTTGCTTGAAAGCAGATCCTTCTACGGTTTGCAATAGAGTGATAAAAAACACTATTTGCAACGCATCATATTCTACGCGAGCTTACTCACAGCTCATAGCAAGAGAAGAGAATTATGTTTCTCTTTCTTTTTAGAAAAAAAAAATGAAAAAATGCATTCCGTCACTAACTAATAGGGTGATCTCTCTTTCTATTCTCATAAAACAGCACGTTGATTGGTGCTTCAATTTCGCACGTACTATGTATCAGGGGAATTATAATATAGGTTTGGCACAATATGTAGAGTATTCTCGCTACCCTGAATAGTTTCGACAATTTGTAACAGCTAGCACATTGTAATATATTATGAGAAATTGAAGCAATGTAGGCCTACAGGAAAATTAAAATCGAGATGGAAAGACTGTACGGTATATTTAATTTCCCAACTAAATCGGCCTTCCCTCATTACGAAATGCGCAGGTGTAACAATAACACCGACGAAGTTTAGCACATAGCATGTATACGTTTTAATTTGGTAACACAGGGTGTTCAAGTCTTAAAACTTGAATTAACACGGATTAAATAAGTAAACCTGGTTAACACATATGGAAATGACTTCATGACAAATTGCAACGAGACCTCATGAACACCCTGTAAGTCCATTAACACGATCCTCTGAAAACCTTGACAAGATGGGGCATAGCGACATAGACCGGTATTCTCGTATAAATTCACCCCAGAGAGGATTTCCATGAAGGAAAGGCAATAGAAGCGAATGCGGCTATTGCTTAGACCTACAGTAATAAAGGCACCAGGCAAAACAGCGGGAGATTTAACGCAGTTACAAGAGCAAAAAACAACCTGTTTTTCCCCATGTGAGCGCCTTTTCAAACATAAACTGTCGCTTCGAATTTATGATTGATGGGGAAAAATCTAATTGTTGACATGGGACATTCTAAATGGCTTGGCGGGTCGGGTTGTATGACTAGCACTAGAGTTTTATTTGTCGTTTTGAAAGTTTTGTAATATATTCATGTAAAGCGTGTCATGTTAATATACTTCACGTAGTGATACGCATACATTTTTTGAAATGAGGGGAAGGCAAAAATTTCGAATTGCCGTCTTCTCTTTTTTCACCTTAGCCGTTCTGAAATTCAATATAACGGCCTTATTGCATTGGGTATACATGTCCTTGGTTTAAAATTCCATCCTTGCCGCGGAACCCAGGTTGTAAAAATGTGAGAAGTTTATATAAAATCAGAGATATATTGATTTATGCTTGCATAGAGGCACTTTCAGTGCGGATATCCAGAACGTTTTATAAAAAGTGAATTGAGTGTTTGTATGGTTGAAATTTTACATTTTGATAGTACTTATGAAACAAACAGTCATGAGGGCTTCCTCTAAAATTTTAAATCCCTAGTTTCTACGCACACTTCCGTTATATTGTTTCCGAAAGACATTTATGATCACTAAACGACTTTACAAAAATTCAAAAAGATTGAACAAAGTTCATAGAGAACAATCAGTAGGTCATATCAGGACCGAACATGGCGTCGGTTGTGCACTGATTTCGGACGCTTTGAAATGATTGTTAAAACACGATCATTGATCCAGTATTTCCAAGACCGGTGGACCCCCCTTGACCTACGACTTTTTTCCCAATGAGTTATTGATGGAATATGTTTCGTATTGTGTGTGAACGCTCAGCGAACAGTCCAAGTGATCGATTCTATTTTTTCATCAATTTGGGTGTCTATTGCAAAAAAAACTTGATATATATATATATTTACATATCTTTGAAGTATTTTACATTTGATTCGATTCGAAAGATATTCGTTTTGAGTTTGACATCATCAGCTATTCGGAAATGCCCAGCCCTGTTTGCGACATCATTGATGAAGTGACACGAAAACTTTTGAAAATTTGGCTTTTTCTCGTTTACACAAGACAATATATATATGCGAGTGTATGATTCTAGCTCATGTTCAATCAAACGTTAACTCATCAGAGTTTATTACTTCACGGAAAAGGAATCGTACTGTCTTGACTCAACAGTTTAAATATAGAATTTGGTAGACAGTTGTTCCCAACCTTTTACGATTTCTCACTTTGCATCCCTCAATTTATCCCCTACCATATATATATATATATATATATTTGTTATTAAATCTTTAATAGATTAATAGCTAACTATATGTGCTACCTCCCAATTTGGTACTCTTTGAATAGTGTATGTGTGTATTACAACAATACTAGACTATTTTAATAAAACTGCATCGAAAAGAAATTATTATGTTTGTAGTTCCGCACTAAAAACGTAATAAAAAAAAATCGAGAATTTTGAACGTGGTCTAACATTGAAGATGGAGGGATATCTGGGTAAAGGATTTTCACATCGCTGTTTCCTGATTTGATGAAATTCTGAAATCAGCAAGCAAAATTTTGATGAGATCGACGCATAATCGCCAACTATGAAGTATTGAAATTCATTAAGACGGCCTTATCGTATTGCCTATATGGATCTTTGATTTAAAATTCCATCCCCGCCACTAAACCCAGGATGTAAAATGTGAAAAGTCTATACAAAATCAGAGATATATATATTTATTTCTGCTGGTGTAGAGCCACGTTCGGTGCGAAACAAACATGGAGACTTCCTCTAAAATTCAAACTCCCAATTTGATTAGCACACTTCCGTTATATCATTCATATATATATATATATATATATATGATTTCATACACGTCGAATTGTGTCATTTTTCAAAACTGCGAATTTCCGAAAGAAATTTATTATCACTAAACGACTTTACAGAATTTCAAAAAATTGATTAAGTTCATGCAAAACAATCACTAGGTCATATCAGGACCAAACATGGCCTCGTTTGTGCACTCATTTCGAACTATGAAATGACTACCAAAAATAATCTTTAATACAGTGTTTCCCCCCCCCCCCCCCCCCGCTATTTATTCCGGGTATTTTTGCAATTCAAACGTAAAAAATGCCTAATATATATTATTTTTCCGCAGTAAGGATGTCGACGCCCAAATAATTATTTCGAATGTCCGAGGAAATTATATTCACTTACTCCACAAAAACTTTGGTGCGTTAATGGTGATAATAAAAGTCGCAATTTCCTACAGAAACCAAATAAACATTTAATCTACTGCGTTCCTAACAGTTTGTTAAAGAAGGTCTGTATAGTCACAGGTCTTGTTACCAAAGTTAGGTTTTATAGGAGTTAAAAGAAATGATTGATTGTCTTAATCTTTTGAAACGCAAAGTCGGAGTCTATAAATTTTTCTCAAGATGTAGTCGCGAGTCGTTTGTGAACTTTTTCGAGTACACAGCCCTGATCAGAATACAAAACAGTATTGCAAAAATAAATCTATCATTTATTATAAATAAATGGGCAAGCAACATAAACAGTAGAAAGCGATCCTAAACAGGTAAACGAACAGATATAGTGAAGGAAGCATTGCAAACTAAAATCCTAATTTCTTATATTCATTGAACAAGAAGGATTGGATCATTACCGCATACAACAAACACAAAACGGCGCTCCTGATTCATGTGCAATAAAATGGCGCAGCCTGACCCCTATTCTCGTACATATACTATGTTCAGGTTGTGCGCCATCTTGGTACACATACTTCCGGAGCTCCCAAAAAACTACTAGAAACTACAAGCAAAACGTTTACATGTAATCTCAATGTGCAAATCGATTTATTGATAGTAGTTGATAGATTGCTTATTTCCATTTAAATCCTATAAAGATGAAGTTTTCTTTGAACTTGAAAATGAGGAAGAGTCGCCAGTGAAAGCACGGAATCTATATTCTAATTGCTGATCGCGAGACATCTTTTCCTCTAAGAGTTCCCGTTGTAGTTCTCGGCCCTGGTTACAGAATAAATATATAATCTGAATTATGAATTGTTTATAATTTACAGTCTTGGAATGGGATAGGATTTACATCCTCCAAGAGTTCCCGTTGTAGTTTTCGGCCCTGGTCACAGAATAAATATATGATCTGAATTATAAATTGTTTATAAATTAAAGTCTCGGAATTGGATAGGATTTACATATTTACTCTGAAGAGAGGAAAACCGATGAGTGGCTCAATCATTTGACACCTCTCGTCTGGTTACCAGTCCATGTCGGTATGGGATTATTAAGCCAGTTATTTGTTTGCCAGATACATGAACTTGATGGTGGAGGAAGCCGTAACCGAACAGTGGTGAATTACCCTACGACAGCGAGGAGTCCAGCAATACCCTTGCATATAATTGGAACCTGCGAATCCCACACAGGGTAACCAGATGTGTGATGGCGAGCGTATTCCTAATGCTTTTCACGCCACAACACACCGCCGAACAAACAGTTGCTTCTTGAAAAGTGGGGTAACCTTCCATTCAAACTAAACTGGTTGCATGGAATATTGGGTGCCAGCAATGCTTTCGTCATCACATCACTGATTACTCAACCTGGACTTCCGGAACAATGGGATTATGAGTGAAGAAATTGCTGTACTCCTTGTAGTGGTTCATACGGTTGTAAACCGGTAAATAACAGTTTTTAGAATGAGCCGTTTCAGATAGAGGAGGATATTGGAATATTTGAGTAGGATTCTTACATTTTACATAAATATGGTCAAGTTGGATGTGTGAAGACATTTTTATAGCTAAACATACATCAAATATAATTGAAACAATAAAATCATTAACAGCTACAAATGAACCCAAATCAAACAAAAACCATATTAGTATCAAGATCATCAAAAAAACATCAGCCACATAAACTAACCGGTTTCAATATATTATCATTCTTTTGTTTTCTGGTTCGAAGTTGCGATGTATGTTGTCGTATTCTTGCCTGAACTTCGCTGTCCATTCGTTCCCTTTGTGTAACAAATTATTATCAAAAGAGTTACATGATAAAATGTGACACTAACATGGAAAAATTAATCAATTCTTTTATCTGAAAAATTTGTTCTTGTTTACTGAAATTGTGTTGGACCTTTTTTCTCTAGATTTCCTCCCTATGAGTATGATTAAAAACTTAATTTTTTCAAAATTTTGTTTTTTGAGCACTTATTTCGGACCTACTGGAGTATGCGCACCAAGATGGCGCACAACCTGAACTCAGGTTGTGTATCAGGTTAGGGTTCAGGTTGTGCGACATCTTGGTGCGCATACTTCAGGAGTACCCTTATTTCATATGCCACTTGCCACATTTAACCTAAATCTATTTGACAAACTAGTAAAACATTCATGTTTTACTTTCTTTCTCAATATAGGATAATGGCCAATGTAAATGTTGTCTCCACTCTAACTAGCAGCCAGATCAAGAGTAGAGCTTTCAGATCATATAGGTTTATTGTCATGTTCTGAGTAAAATTTAACATAAATGTTTAAAATTCTGGAAATGCCCAATGATACTCATACCTGACAAAAACTATACAAATGTTTTCTTTTGCTTTTAAAAACACTAAGAAGAGATCTAATGAAATGAGAATGACAGTTTCGTGTGACAGAAGCTACCCAATAGTAAACACTCAGGCTAAGGTGGTAGGCATGAAGTGACAACTAAAACCTAAGATCTCCTGTCTGTGAACCCAACATCAACTGTACACTAAGCACTAGACAACCCACTGTACTTTTCTCAATAAATCAATGAAATCATAGTAAGCCAAAATACGAACTGATTTTGTTTGCTGGATGGCTTCACATAAACATTTTTCTTGCTGGTGAAAACTTGCTGCCCTAACTGCACTTCTGATTTAATTGTTTCCTCTTTTTTCTTTTCAGTGGAATTGTTGATTTCGAGTATATTATGCGTCATCTTTGTTATCATTTTTATTTCATTGTCAACTTCGTTTTCAGCTATCTCTTTCATTAGTTTTTGCTTGGAAACTTTGCTTGATCTTGCTCAAATCAAAATATAAGAATGTATAAAAATGTAATCTCAAATTACACATTAAATCAGATTTATATATAAAAACTTAATAATGGATAAATTATCATTTTCTGTTTTCTCAGGTGTTGCTCTGCTTTTCCTTCTTCCTTCTTCTGATACTATTTATAGTTAGGTCAAGATAAAACTTCACTCACAAAACCACTCTATTCACTCATTGACGAAACACATAATTCGACTCGAATTATGCTTCATTACTACACCTTCCTACGATCTGCGACTTCACAGACCTCACTCACTATAAAATTGATAAAAGAAATAATATTTATGAAAATTTCTCTTCTTACTTTGGTTTTGCATTTTTCGGTTCAACTCTGTCAACTTTTTCTTCCACAGCATCAAAATGGATTCTTCGTTCTTCCTCAGTAACAGGTCTAGCTTCCATTGGAGGGGTGTCAATTCCATAAGGTGGAACAGCTTGACTGATTTCTGAAGAACAAGAGTCACTTGTATATAAATTTAACTATAATGAACCATTTTAATCACACGATATATGATATCAATAATACCACCATTTAAAGTACACATTGGAAAGCTTTTTAGTGGTAATGTTCCAATATTATTTAAGAAATATATGTTTTTGTTATTTTATGATAAGCAATGACTTATCGCGAATCACATGAACATGTGTAGGATAGGATATCAAGTTAGGTCTTCATATTTATATCAGGGGAAACAATATGATGACAAAACAATATGATTGCTTAATCATACAGGGAACCATGGCATCTCGTCTAGTAATCATTTCATGTCAGGTATGGAAATAATTAACTAGGTATTTATTTTATGTTAGGTTGTTAGTGGAGGAAGCCGTAACCGGTGAAGTGGTAGAAATCGCTCTATATTCTACTAAATTTGTCAATGCATAATCAAAAAAATAAACAATAGGAAACTAAACATACCCGTTCTAGATCTTGGTAGCAATATAGTTTGCAATTTTTTGGCTTCTTGTCTCCATTCATCAAGTACCATGCTATTTCTGAATAATATTAATATACAAGTTAATACATTCCTGTCACTAAGAATGCACGGGTATGGAGGATCGATCCACTTTCTGGGCAATAAAAACTGAACATTATTAAAAAAGGTGAAGATTTGTATTTCTAAAAAAATTTTGGCAATTCTATAAATAATAAATGACTCACTTTTTTCTTTGTTGGGACAATGCTAGTTTATTTTGATATTCCATTTTATCCGTTTTTGGAGATGAGCTGGAACCATTGACAAGACTGATGTTGTTCACTCTAACACTGCCACCCCTGTGAATATAGAACAAAGATACTATTAGATGTTGTCAACGGGTTAGGAAATAATATTTTACAGAACAGAAATTAGTATTTAAAATAAAAACAGATTAAAAAATTTGGGCCTGGTTAAAAAATTTAGGATAAAAGATAATTGCCCAACCAGAGAAAGAATCAACAAAAATGTTGCATAAATATTAAATTTGTCACAGAACATAATTATTTAGTACTGGATAAAATTTCATTCTTACAATGAGTTATCAAATCTCTTATCTCTCCACGGAGTTCGAGTGTGCTTGTTCCTTGAATTTGGTCGATGAAACATGGCTGGTACTAGTGTCGGACCTTGAAGCATCGCTTCATGCTGAATACACAAAGTATAATATGTTAGTACTTGACTTTGGTAAAGTGTTTCAAGTGGATCTTGATCCACTTAACATAAAAGAAGTGAATTAACTGATGTAGAGTAGTGTTGATTGATATCAAGGGAAATATTTTCTGTTTCGAATAAGAATTAAATATCAAGTATGCATTTTTTGTATCATAATTATGGTGTATACCAGGGATGTGCAACCTTTAATACAGAAGGGCCAGATACAAATAACTGAGTGAAACTGTGGGCTGCAACTTCATTTAACATAGGCTTTCTAATAGTTGCAGGCACAAAAATAGGTATAGGCTTTGCAACGCAAACCAAACCTAATCAAAAACTCGTTTTGCGAGCCACATATCATTCAAAATTGGCACTTTTCCATGGGCCACACATTTTTTCCTTGTGGACCGCATTTGGCCGGTAGGCCGCAGGTTACACAGCCCTGGTGTATACTATAAAATTTAAGTTTGTCTATTGTGTATATATCAACACAATAACAGACATATAGTAAACATGATCTCACTACAAAAGAGTATTATGCCAGAGTGCTGATACTACAGAAACAATTCTTTAATTCGAATGATCACTGATTACCACAACAGTTGATCAAGTTACTTCTGATAAAGGATTTGTATTGATACAATGACCAACAGCGTTACATAACAATAGAAAGAAGGAATTTGAGCAACTGTACCATCATTTGAAGCTGTTTTGATGTTGTGTTGAAAATTGTCTTCAAAACAAAATGCTATACGAATATCCTATAGCAATTTCTTGCACTTCAAAGGGTCATATCTATATTCTTCACAAAAATACTGTACTGAGAACTGAGAGTCTGAGTGTCATTCTTAAATTTTTAGAATTCTGTTAATCGTTATACCCAATTACCTCTCTTCGTTTTTCTTCCATGTATGGCGAATTATTATTAATCATTTCATTGCCATCTTCTGGATAGTAATCATTATCATTTTCATAATCCCATTCATTTTCTTCATCCATATCTGTATTGAACATAATGCTGAATTTTGGTACTAGAAATGTGCTACTAGAAATATGCTTTCGAACCAAGACTTGCAAAATTATAACTCTGGTTATGTTTGGTAAAAAAGGACGTTAGCTTTGTAAAATGCACTAAAAAGTTACCACCACAAGGCAATATGATGATCTATATAGGAGATATTTTAGCAAAAGCTAATTTAGTCGGTAATTCTGATATAAAGAAAAATGCAAATATTAAATGATAACTAAAGAAATCAAATACTGGAAACCTTTGGTTCAGATTCAAAGTCATAAAAAAATCGTAAAATTATGATTCACTTTACCCTCCATATTTCCAACATTATTCAATTCCTCAAGCAGAAAGGACAATATAACTTGTACACCTTGTTCTACAATTTCAGGTGGAGGCAATATCAGAGGATTTCCACGAAGAGAAAGACCTAAAAATAAGATGATTAATAACTTGAATATTTGGAATACAGAAGTAGGATGTACAAAAATGGGTTAAAATCTATTACAAGTACTGGTTATAACATAGTGTAAAAGACTATTGCTTTTTTTACTACTTTATTACTTTTAATATCCTTCGGCCGCAAGATTTCATCAAAGTTTTTTTTTATAAAATTGAGCCATTCTATCAAAAATTTCATGAGGGGTCGCCTTTAGGCAAATTAATTAGAAGACAGAATTCAACAGTCTCAAACTATAGGGATATGAACTCTCTAATAAATTGTAGGATTCGTTCGGGGTTTCCAGTCCACTTTTGAGCATTATAAACAATTGAGACTCGCTTGGAAACTTGGATTGACCTTATTAATACCCTTACCAAATTAGTGATGAATGACTATGCATACCCTACCCTAGTAAAGAAGCAAATACATTAAAAATAATTACCTGTGATCGTTTGTACATTTCCAAGTTCAAGTGGTAGATGTGTAATTTGATTTCTTTCAAGCAGAACATTTTTAAGGTTCCTAAAAATAAAAATTTATAGGGACATTAACTCAATTCTATAGATAAAAATTTATATGATACTGAACATTCCAAATGCCCTGCTCAATAGAATTTATAGGTAGGCAGCATGGTTTCCATTGAGATTTAGAATCTGTAACCTAATCTCACCGATGGTTTCCAATACTTGATGGTAAATCTGCCAGTTTATTATCTCGTAAATCGAGCCATGTTAACCTAGGTAAACTTTCAAAGAAGTCATCTGGTAATTCTTCTAGCAGATTACTTTCCAAATAAAGTTGCTGTAAAAGAACAAAACGGTTTATTATAAAAAATTGGAGAAACCAAAAGTCCAATGTCAGAATTCCTCAACGAGGAAGTAAGGTAACTGAATTATACATTTAATATTTTGCTGTGTTCTTGCTACGACATCCTTGCTTATTCACACATACCTCCACAAATGCATAAGGATTAAGTCATATGAAAACAATATGTCACGTACATAATTTGATTTTTGAACAAAACATCATTTGTTTTTCAACCTGAATTTATAATTAAGAGCAGAAATACATAGTGCACACTAATCTGGCAGTGTGATTAATTTTCAATGTACAAAATCACACGCAGGATTTTTTACTTTATACTAAATCTGCATAAAACAGTATAAGGCAGTACTGCAGTAAGGAGACGTAAGAATCGACAATGGCATCTTATATGTTTACTAACCTCCGAACCTGTATGAGACACCTCATGATAAAACTTTGAGAAGAGACCTACGGAAAATATTAGAACTTTCCGACTTGCACACCTACCTGTATGTTGGGAAGCATATACAATTCCTCCGGAACAAACATCATTGAGCGTGCTGCAAGGTCCAGAAATGAATTTGAAGCATTATGATTTCGAATAATTTTTAAAATTTCTTCTTCTTTTTTAAGTTGCACTTTTTCTGCCTGTGATATTTCCTCTACTTCTTTCATCTTGCAATTTTAACGAACTAATAAATCTTTTATCAGATATCATCAGAAATTCTTCAATTCAACAACAATTCAAATGAAAGCAAGTTTTTTTGTTAATCAAAATTGAATAATAAATACTTTTTGTTTGGTGAATTTTGATGTTTTAGTTTGTTTTGTGTATCCAATACAATAGTGGGTTACCGTACTTATGGGAATCAAGAAATATTTGTAGCTGACAGGTTACTCAATTTGTAATATCTATTACAGCTGTGAATTCCATAAATTTTCGGATAACTAGATTGGTAAATGGTCATACAGCATTATTTTAAACAAAAATATTGAAACAGTAAAAAGACCTCAAGTAAATCATGAGCATTGCAACATTCTGCGCTCATGGGATTTTACATATTTATCCCGGGGAGAGAAAAGCCGATAAGACGGCTTATCCATATGGCGAACCACATTGAACAGACTGACTGACAGTAGTGACAGAGTGTTTCGCCTGCATCAAATGACAGAACATGACTAAAAATAAATATATCCCAGGCCTAGTCTATGTTTCCAAAGAACCACATCAATATTACAAAGTACCGCAAAGACCCATAGGATACACAATCATCGATTGACGAAGACGGCAGAAATATAAACATGTCTGCATTCTGCAACGGCTTCACGTTGCTACGGCATCTGATGTTTACATTGCAGGCTCACTCGAGCATGAACGTCTGAACGTAGAAAGTTTGCTGTGGTGCGACAGCATTCATTATTAGTTTCAGTGTTTCAGAGTAATTGCTAAGCCCCATTCACATCAATGCAGCGATGCAATGTGTTTTAACTTGCGTTAGATCTGTAAGAATGTGTAAACTGAAATACAGTGATATTAACAAATCTCGAAAAACGCAGTGCATCTGAGCAAAAATTGACAGCTAATTCGGTGCGCTGACGTAGTACGGCAACCAGTAACTTGAATACGGTAGCTAAAAATTAATGCAGTTGCTTGGAGGAAACTTGAATGATCCTTACTGGTTTAAAATTACCCATGGATTTTTCGACGAATGATATCAAACAAATTAAATTATCAAAAAAGAATCAAAGTATTTGCTGACTCATTTTCTGTCTTTATATTTTCTTTTCATAATTTAATATTTTCACAATCCATTATGAAACCTTGATTACAGTGTACACAAAATGATCAGGAGCCTTGGACGTATTGCATACTGACCAACACAATTCAATGTTCAAATTATTCACTGCATTGTATTACTATAAGAATCTGAGATAATGTCTTTTGTTTTCATGTAACATTGTGTTGGGGAAATAAATCTCTCTCTTCATGGCCAATGCAATTTATAAAAATAAAATAAAAAGGAAATATTATCAATACTAATTTTGACTGGATTTTTGTCATTTTTCAAGTGTTTTTCACTATGTTAGATCACCCGAGGCGATCAATATTAATGCAGCTACTTCTGGAATTAGTTAAGCAATCGATGGCATTAGCATTTTGTTTGCAAACAAGTTCGTTTCATAAAAGGAATGGCGTGCGGCTGTTTTCGGTGGATAGTACTCTTTGTTTTATCTGTTAGGTGTTCAACCTCGCTGACAATTTGCAAATCAAAGTAAGTAGTTTCATTTTTGCCTGGAAGTTTTGAAATTTCAATCTGACTATAAGCAAGATTTCAGGCATTGCATATCCAAATGTCTAAAATGAGATGAAGCAAATTTTCATGAGTTTAGATCATCGACTGCAATAAAATATTATATCTGTACATATCTTAAACTACGCTGTCTCTTCGGGCAGGAATTATATAAACATAACACATGAGTATGCGCGTAGATGAAATATGAAAATTTATTTTTGGAGATAAGGTCATTAATAATCGTTTATTCAAATAAGCCTATTCATCTGACAGCCGGGCAATCATGTTGTTATGTACTCCTCATCTTGTAGTAGCCGATTCCACACAATCGATTCTTCTTTTACCAAAAAATGCATGAGATATTCATGTCAAATTCAGTTGACATTGATCAAGTGTGTAATTTGTCTGGCATGTTATTTTGCTTTCAACACTTATATATGTGTGATTGCCCATTGCGTATATGTAACTAATTTGTTTGTTTGTTTTTCTTTCCATGGAAATTTAATGTTGTTTTTGGACACACCTAAAATTTGTTAAAACATATCTGAAGCATTTTTATTCATGTTTATTAATATTGGGTGGTAACTAACTCCGATGCCCGCATGGTCGGATCGTTGCCACCCAGTCTGTATCGAGAACTATTTTGCTTTCTATTAATTGTGTTTTTGTTATGAATAGGTTTTCTGTTGGACAAAACAAACGAACTTTCTCTCTCTCTCGCATAACGTTCAAATTAAATACACATAAGAACTTCTAGTGTTGTTGTCTTTGGGCTTTTATTTTATAAATTCTGCTTGGTCGAGTGCTATTTTAGCAACAACCTGCAAAATACCATCGGACTCCACAAGATATAAATATCAATAGCTCAAATATAAAATAGCTCCATGATTTCTGTTTTATTTCCTAGAATTTGTGCTGACGGGAAAACAATATTTTTGAGTGGAGTGAATCAAGCTTGGGAAAATTATGGAAAAGATTTCGGAAATAAAAATTTCAAGAAGGCGAAATCTCGATTGACATCTGTGCTTTCAGATATACATAAAGCTGGAGGAAATTCCATTCGTATGTAAAAGTTATATTGATATATATATATGTCAATTTTCATCACTTCGACGCGATTTTGCTAATTTGTTGCTGGAAGCTAAATTTTATTCATAGGGACAACAATGAATTGCAATCTAAATCCTGATATAATAATAGTTTTTTATTCGACATATGCCAGCGATTTTTATCTTTCTTGCATTTCCGTTAGTCTTTATTCCATTGCATACATATGGTGTTACCACTATTTTAGGTATCTTTCTTCACACGGATGCTTCGAGCACTCCTCAATTCACAACAACTGGATTTGTAACTGCCGCGGATTCCAATAACAATCACATAGTTAGTGAGATGAAAGAATATTTGGATGAAGCAAAGAAGCATAAAATATATGTGTTTTTTGTTTTGTGGAATTTTGCTGTTTTTAACTCAGTTCATTGTGAGTTTTTTTTTATGTGTTATTCATCTTCTGATCTTCAATTTCACAAGTTTTAGTCAATTTCACGGGGTTATCATGAGAAATGACCGTCCGTACGCGCCCATAATAACGCTGATTACATAGGGTCGTATCTCAAGGAGAATACGTTTGCGCGAGAGTATTGCTGATCTCATTGTTGTCGACGGGTAGGTAGTTACGTAAACACTGGTTTGTTCCAACTTCCTTCGTTATCTGTGCGGATAAATTTGGGGAAAATAAGTGCTCAATTATTCAAATACCTGGCCTGGTTGGCTGTGGTTCCTCATATTCATATATAGTATATATATATAACGTCTTATAGGCTTTCTCTCCTCCAGATATATATATATACTATTGAACATCCTACTATACGCAGCTGTAGCTAACAGGTGGCGTTTGAATATAAATCAAAAATAATATCAGTGAAAATATATGTATATATATTATATATAGAGAGATGGATTTGATATCGAAGCATAACAATATTGAATAGGTATTCTGTTATATTTACAGCCAAAAAGATTTCCGGTCTCGTGACCGACGAAAAGAAACTCAGATCGTATATTGATGAAGCTCTTATTCCAATTGTGAAGGGATTGAAAGGACATGAAGCACTTGGAGGATATGATATTGCTAATGAGCCAGAAGGGGCTATTTTAGTGAGAATGATTTTGTTTTGCACTTTAGCAATAATAATTTTCAATAAATGTTTACGAACTTGGTTGGAGAAAACATTGTTGAAAAGTCACAACAATAAAGGCATTTCATCTTTACAAAATTTTTGTTTGAAAAGAAAGATATATAAAGGTTTCATAATGTTCTATATAACATTCTTTCAGGCAAATCAATATCATAGAAATCCGTGTTTCAACACGAAACGTCTCAAGAATACAGGGGTTGGATGGTGGCAGAAAACGCAAAGACGTGCACCATTGTTTTCGATGCAACAAATGTTACGGTTTTTGAATTGGCAAGCTCATGCGATAAAAACGTAAGTTTGCACAATGCTGTGTTTATAATGTTTTCATTTTGTTTTACTTGGAATAATTTTTTTTAGGCATGATCGGACTGCATTGGTGACAGTTGGTGCTTGGAGTCAGAAAACAGTACATGAGCTAACACCTGATAGCTACAATTATTATTCGGATAAATGTTTAATAGCGTCTGGTGGTTTGTTGAAATATCGGGGAAAACTGGATTTCTACCAAATGCATACTTATACGTCGAAACGCTCTTATGACGATAAATCGCCCATGGAGGTAAGATATGCTTGAAATTTTCATTTTATGCATTTTCCCGATAAACTGCTATATATATATAAAGTAACTGCATCATTGGAGGAAAATAATTACCTTGGAATTGAGCGATTCAAACTTAACATGAAAGTTAAATTAAAAATGAAAGTTTAAATTTACGTTGATGCATTTAACTTCTTGCGTTTGTGAATAGCTAAAAGTTTAATTGGTAAAGTGTAAATCTATTTACTTGTCGTTGTTTTAATGACTTCACAAAAATTATCATCGATTTGTTGATCAAAACTCTAGGCTAATTACTGTGAAATTATCTGTTTGGATAACTAAACGACTAAATTTCAGATTTGTGCCGCCACACATAATTTGGATAAACCTATTGTGATCGGAGAATTCAGTGAATCCGGGGGTGACGGCAGAAAAATTGAGAGACTTTTTAAACATGCTTATTATGGGGAATATGCTGGTTGCTGGAGTTGGCATGCAAAGGTAACAAATAATGGATCCATTAAACAAGCGTCGTCGTAAATGATCGCCTTTTCATTCCGCAAAACCTTCAGTTCGAATTCAATATATAAATATTTTATTCTGAAAGGGAATATTTATTTTATGATAAAAAACTTGTACTTTTAACATGTGTTCAAATGGATGCCAATTTTTGCCTAGATTCAAGAATTAATCAGTTCAACTTTTCTCGTGCGCCTGTATCGTTGCTGAAACTAATATATAAACTCATTTTTTAAATCCGATATTTCCAAATCCGCCTGCATGTTTTCTTCCTCCTGACGACAATACTCTTTATTCATATGTGTGTACAACCTAACCAAATTTGAGCCATTCACTAATGTTTTATTTGAAAGGGAACTGGAAACCACAGCGACAGTTTCACTGTCCAAAAGAGAGGTCTGATGTCAATTTCTGGTTTATCCTCAAACTAGTACACAAAGGGGCTGACATGTAATTTGGGCTGGATTTCAAAGTGGATTGCAAAAATTGGGTGATATAACGCCTAGAGTTCAATTATATTCTTGTTTCAATATAAACAATGATAGAATTACTTGTTGATTATATTAATATTCGTGCAGCATTTATTCTGTGAGATTGACTACAAACTTTATAAGATGTTGTAGCCTATATATAGTTCATGAGTTACTCAGCCTGTCAGTATACAAAATCAATTACTTTAATTATTATGCTACCTGTGCTTCTAATGGTTTCATCATCGATGCAGTAAACACCCTCATTGAGTAAATCATTAAACTGAATGACATAATGGCTGTGAATGAAACAATTGTTATTGTGGGCAAAAGGACAACAACACTCTAAGTTTCCTTGCATGTTATTGTTGCATCTTGTGAGGAAGATATTCCATACGTGACAAGTATCATAGTAACCAAGAATAATGGAAATATCCAACTAATGAACGAATTGTTATTTTGAGTCCTGCAGTAAAGATATAAAGTATTGATATGTCATAACAGGAAGCTTACAAATATGCTTATAAAATGTTTAATAAAAATGAATTTCTAATGTAGAGTACTTATCAAAATTGGAAACGAAGAGTACATGCCGGTCGTTTTACTAAATCGTTGCAGTTGTTAGTAGTCTTGCTGTAAGGGAAATTAACAAAGGAAGAAGTCACCAAAAGTCTATTCATTTTGAAGTCAACTCTGAGTTTTATGGAACCCAATAGTTCACCCAAAATGTTTCTGTTTTATCAAACAAAATATTTGGCTGATAACAAAGGTATCTGGGATATTGGCATTTAAAATAGGGTACTTTCATTACAAATAAGGCTCTCATATAAGTAGTTATTTAATCTTTGTGTTCATATATTCAGGCATTGCTCTCTTTCTGTGTTGTGATTATTCAAACTTGAAATCCTAATACTGTAATACCTTTTCTTCCACAGCGTATACACATAAGAACGTCCAGGCAGTTAAACATTGCAATAGTAGTTGTCACAGTGCACATATATACAAAAAAAGATGCGGTAACGGCGCACATAGCATTCGAATCGCTGAAAGTCACCGCACATAGAATTGCCTCATGTTTCAATCCATGTGATAAAACAGTTTGAACCGACAAACCAGATTCAAGCTTCAGTGAAACGATAGGTGCCAGAATTTGAGCGAATATTGTCGCCATTCCCAACGTTCCAGCGAGTGATGCATGTAAGTAAAAGTTTATGAAATGTAGAGAGTGGACGATTACTAGATGGAGGTTAAGATGATGCTATATTTCGCTAAACCTTAAATAGTGCCTTAAAACATCTCAGAATATTCAAACTATAATGTTATTTCTGCTAGATTTTGTTCATAATTATATTTATGACGTGGATGTGGCAACAATACCTGAAAGTACGTTGATCGATAACTCGTTGTGTGGTTTCATCTAATAAATCATGAGTTAGCACTGCAAACGTAGTTAAGTGATCACATATACAAATTGAAACTTCAGGAGTGGACCACACAACATCAAGTCTGCAACCACCTTCATTATACAGCCATCTTCCCTTATTTTCATCAAGATATACACAGGTTGGAGTCTTTGCTCGTCTAAAAGATTTAACACATTAATGTAAAGCCGACATTTTTCCAATTAAGTAATACTTTTTATATCATAGTTTTTTTTTGCAGTACACTAAACGAAAATTCCGATATTGTGGAAACTACTTTAATAACCAAAATTCTCGTTTAGCGTAGGAATGAATTTACAACAAGACCGATGGCTTATGACTCGAGTTGTAAAAAGCCGTAATACAGTCAAATTCATAGACATAATTCATTCACTATATAGAACAAAAGTACGTTGAAATACCAATGATAATTATTTAAAACTGGCTGTTCGAGGCTGTTGAAGAGCTACGTGTTTGCTTTCCTTAATTAACAGCCAAAATAGATGATTCGTGCTCATTCGTGTTTCTGCATGTAGCTGCAATATATCATCAGCAACAGACGAATGCTTTCCTTTCGTGTCCTCTTCTAATATTTGCAAAATTTCACTGGATATTGCTGAAAAGCCCGTGCTTGTACCGACGTTCGCTTCCTCAATTTTATCAACGATTTTCTAAAATAATGCGCATATAATGTTACTGTGATTTAGGTATGTATGATTTTATGATGAGTTTCATAAAATTTTACGTTGTTTTTTAAGAATTATGGTTATTTACTTTTTGATTTCAATTTACATTTTTCAAGCCACGTTATATTTATTCTTTATTTTGAAATTGACAACTCGATCTTCACTTTAACTTTCTCGGTTGCACATCCAGTCAAGTCTTCGTCTTGCCATATTTGATTCTGGCTGCAAAGATGAAATGCAGTTCCTTCCACTTGTACCAGCAGGGCATGATGCGTCCTGGGTAACTCCCGCTAACGTCCATTCCCAGACAACACTACTTTTCTCTGTTTCTGGTTTACAATGTCGTAAGGGCGATGGAAGATTTAAATACCTGAAAATTATTAATATTAATAAACCAATGTGCACGAAGGGGACTTGGATATGATTTTGTAGCAGCAACTGCGTCTATGGTTAATTACTTTATTCTTACGAAATTGCTTGATACTGTCATTAAATTATTAGGAGCAGCAATAAAAGGTTGTCGGCATTTTACACGATAGTATATATTTAAAATACGATATTGAGTGTCCTTGTTGTAAAATTTATCAGTTGAGGCGGATTTTATTAGAATGTTGGTTCGAAAAGCAGACAAGTTGTTCTATTTGAGGAGGTTGAAATTATCCTCTACACAATTCGCTGGCTATTTCAAATCTTATGGGTGACTGCCATGGACACTGTATAAATTTCACACTGATAAAGAATTGATAAATAAAATGCAACCTTCAGTTTGAGGAACCAATAGCGTACCCAGCAGCCCAAAATTTTGCGGGACCATTTTTTTTTGTATAATGACTTAAATAATACGTGCCTTTTGCTTCGAACAAAGCCAGTGGTTAATGACATTTACAAATATTTTGAAGAATCGCTCTACAGACGTACTTCGCTGTCGAAAAGCTTTAAGGCATATAAACGCAAATTTTCATCTATATTTCGTTTGGTTCATTTGGTCTGAGGATTATTGATAGAAAGCCAGAAAACGTCCGGTTTTCAGTTAATCGTTCCAGAATAGAGTGGAAGGGTGTTGGGAAAGGATGTAAATTCATGTCCTACTACTAGGGCTGGGAATTTCAGGGAAAACACTTTAACCGTTAACCGGGTAAAATTAACCGGTTAACCACCACGTGACGTTTGACGTAATAATTATAATTTTAGCTTGTTACGTCGCAATGGTTTTGAAGCAATTTCGCGTGTTCTTATCCCGGTATCGCTCAAAATTATTCACGAATCGAGATAGTTTCATGATTCCTATGCTGCAAAAGATGGGCAGCGTGGTTCGGGCATGTGGAAATATTTTAGAAAACCCGATTCCGTTGTTAAACGTCATTAATGTGACAAATTTTTAGTGTTCGATGTGCAAATTTTACTTCGAGATATATATCATAAAGAAAAACGGCATCAACTGCACACTTGTTGTATGACATTGAATATCCGATTTTGCAATGAATTCGTGAACAATATATTTCGAAATCGACCGAAAACTGATTCTGAATTCATCATTGTAAATTTTCATTATCAGCAACCTCGGTACTTATTTTTCACATTTATTGATTCCTTACCCACACATTTAGTAATATTTGTTTGAATTAAACGCCGCAAGAGATAAATTTGCAATGACGTAATCATATTTGACGATATTGTACGGTATGAAGATGATTTTTACCTGAGATGTCAGTTAACGGTTAAAATAAATCATAACCGTTGGCCATCTGAAATCGGTTAACCGGTTAACTATTCCCATCCCTACTTATTACAAATACCGCAAAATCGCATTTAAAAAAATGTTAACATATTTTTCTGAGCATGAACTCTCAGTGTGAATTATAATAATTATATGACGCAGCACTGTAACTTGCGCGTTCATTTTTTCCGTGATATTCGGTGAACCCTGCTGCTCTGTTTTATCATAATATTGAGCGTCCGATGTTGTCGATTCTTCTCAGTTGGAGCAAATTTTTTTTTTTTTGCTGGCTATTTTAAATCTCATGGGTGACTTCCATGGGCACTGTATGAAACTTGCACGGATAAAGAATTGATAAATAGAATGCAACCTTTCGTTTGAGAAACGTCGGTATTGTCTGTTGTTATATACTCGTATATATTTATTTACCTGTTACGTGAACCGCATTATAGCAGCCTCTTCACTGTCATGCAAATATAATTATATGACGCAGCGCTGTAACTTCGGAATTCATTTTTCCTGGTTGTGTGTTGAACTCTGCTGGTCTGTTTTATCAGAATAGTGAGCGTCCTTTGTCGAAACTTTTCAGTCGGGGTGGATTTTCATGTGAAAGTTTGTTGAAACGAAAAACGACGAGTTGTTCTATTTTAAAGGGTGTTGCATTTATTTTTTCCATTATAAATCTCATTGACTTCCATGGACTCTGTATGAATCTTACATTGATAACGAATATATATATAGGATGCGACCTTTCGTTTGAGGAATCAAGAGCGTACCTATTCCCAAATTTTTAGAAAGCAAATTTTGTTTATTGACGCTCACTCGTGCCGTTTGCTCCGAACAAATCCAGATAGTAGAAGTAGCCACTGATATCTAACAATAGCTTGAAGAATCGCTCTATAAAGGTACCCTCTGTCTAAGTTATCTGAGGCATATGAATGCGCATTTTTATCTATCTCGTATGGTTCATTTGATGAAAAGATTATTCATAGCATGCCAGGAAACGTCCGGTTTTCAGTAAATTGTTCAAGGATAAAGCAAAGTGATGTTGGAAAAGACGTATGAATTTATGTCTTACTGCAAATGCCGCAAAATTGCATTTAAAAAAGTGTGAAAAGCGTAGCCTCCCCTGTCTACGCCTATGTGAGGAACGGCTGTATTGTCTGTTGTTATATATTTAATGTCTGTTACGTGAATGGCATTATAGCTGCCTATTCGCTGTTATTCAAATATAATTGTATGACGCAGCACTGTAGCTTTCGCGTTATATGAGAACCGTAATGTTCTGTTTTATCAAAAGCCTAATATTCAAATAAATGTTATGTAGATACCTTCCACTTGGGCATTTTTGCCTCACATATTCGTTTATTTCTATGTGACATCCAGTTTTGCTTCCTTCGCAATCTTTTCCACCAAAGGCAGGTTTTGCATTATTGCCCCACTGAAAACCATATTATTTGGCAAAATACCACACAATTAATGCATACTTATATTATGAACTACAGGATGAATGCTGCATATTGGTGCAATCTTAACAACATAATTTCAAATGATTTTATCAGAAAATGTTACTAAATGACGAAATAGATGAGTTGCGAAAGTAATTGTATTCTTGTTAGATTGGGATAGTTCTTTTTAAAGTTCCTTTTATTCAATCTAATTTCAGCGAGAATTTTAAAAAAAATCGCAGTAAAATTACGATTTAAAAACAAGCGATGCAGCATAATTCTACATATTTTTCCAGCGTGAACCATCGCCTACTGAACCTATTTCGGGTTTCAAGTAACAATTTTAAGTAGTTTTTCCATTTATAATATCAATATATCATCTATGGGGCAATCTCTTGCCCCACACGTATCGCTTTTTGGTAAACGTCATCGTTCCAGATACATGTTCTAACTCTTTCCCGCATTGTCGTAGTTCCACAAGTCTTGCTACAGGCAGTGAAGCGACCCCAGGGTCCCCAATGAAAGTCGTCTTCGCGTGGATCTGACGCAATACATAGTTTTTTTCCGTCTTCTATGATAAATGTGTTATGTTTAATATAACATTGTACATGCATTAATAAGGTTTACTTAGATTTTTCGACTTGCGCGCGACCAATTAATTATACGAATAGGCCTTTTTGGAAATTTACTCCAAGTACAGAATATGTTTCAATTGGATAGAGTTTTGTCATTTTTTTACTAGGGAGGGAAATGGCTATAACAAGGACATATAGAGAAGTATCGTTTACCGGGCGGCGTAGTAAATTCATTTATCAGTTGGTCAATACCGGACTTGAAAACAACCGAAACCGCACGGTAAAGTTCGGATTTAGACAATAAATGACCATAAGCTATCCCAATTGTGATTCTCGCCCAGGTTAATTTATTAATTTAAAAACACAAACTCAAGGATGTAACCGTCCGTAATGAAACCCCATACCATAACCTTGAAACCATGCAGAGCTATTAGCGGTAGGAAGCGTAATCCAAACATTTACAATCAAGAATAAACATAAAAAAACACCTGGCAAGCGAAGTGCGTGTTAGTGTGTCAAGCTTAAAAAAAAGGAAATAATATTTGTCAGCCCGAAGGTTAAATATGACGTTCATTGTTTCTGTATACAGTATAACAAAGGAACACTGTATTCACGAAGAAAGCAAATACATAAGGATATGAATAATTATAGAAGCACATTGCCACGTAGGCATGAGGCCTATGATATCATATGCGCACGCATTTGCTTCTTTCGTAATATTTCTTCAATGTTATTTGGGTTTGCGATCAGCGTTGTCACTTTATTAAACGGACACAATAAAAGTTGACATTCATCGTTTAGACATGTGAGAACCATTTGGATTGAGCAACACGCAACAATTGTGTCCGCTTATTGAAGTTGACAGAATGCAAAAGCAAAGGCTGCTGTATTGAAAAGTATGGGAACTGGAAGCTGTCATCCGATACCTGGTTTCACTACGATCAAATCTTACACTGCTTTAGTAGCGCTCGAGCAGAAATATTTTTCGTGTATATCATTTATCAATTAAATAATACATTTAAATTACCTAATTAAACTGCCACACTTTGAAATATTTGTGAAGAGAGTTAACAAGATTATCAGAATAAACAAGAATATTATTTCTAGATTATTGATATAAAGGCTCTTGTTACTTTGTGACGAAATAGACGTAACTTAGAATGAATGAGACAGTATTTAACGACCCAGTTCATGGTACAATATCTCTTCGTCCTGAGTTGGTGAAAATCATCAACACTCCGCAGTTCCAAAGACTGCGAAATATCAAACAGTTGAGTGGAAAATACTTCGTTTATCCCGGTGTATCACACAATCGTTTTGAGCACAGCATTGGTACCGCATATTTAGCGGGAAAATTGGTTCGTCATCTCAAGAAGAATCAAGATCTTGGAATTGACGAGAGAGATGTTCTGTGTGTTGAAATAGCTGGACTCTGCCATGATCTTGGTCACGGTCCTTTTTCACACTTGTTCGATGGAATGTTCATGAAAAAGTTGAAAAAAAGAGAATCAGAAGAGGAAAGAGTAGAGAATGAGAAATATCTTTCCCACGAAGATATTTCTTGCAAAATGTTGGATCTTTTGCTCGATGGAATAGAAGAGAAAATTGTGTCAGAGGAAGAGCGCCAATTTATCAAAGAAATGATTGCGGGGAGTGGCAAAGGGTGTACTTCCGATCGTTGGTTCCTCTACGAAATTATATCAAATAAGACCAACGGAGTCGATGTTGATAAGTGGGATTATTTTGCAAGAGATTGTCATCACTTGGGTATTCCGAATGGATTCAACCACAATCGTTTTTTACAGTTTATGCAAGTGTTACCAGTTGAAAAGGATGACCAATATAAAGAAGAAGGAAAGCATATTTGTGTACATGAGAAGGAATGTTTCAATTTGTATGAAATGTTTCACACACGATGTTCTCTACACCGAAGAGCATATCAGCACAAAGCTGGGAATGCAATTGACCATATGATCAGTGATGCCCTGGTAGAAGCCGACAGACACATCCTATTTCGTGGAAAAAAAGCTGAACCACAAAACCTTGATTGGAATGAGGCGCGTAAACTTGAGAATGGATGCTTTAAATTACCAGACCCCGATTCCCCAAACAGAAATTTTCTGAAGGACGGGAATGATGTATTTCATCTTCGCACTATATCTCAATGCGTTGATGATCCTGTAGCATATACAAAGCTAGATGATGGAATTTTTCAACAAATTCTACATTCTGACGGTGAACCTCTAAAAAAAGCTCGGGAAATTCTCGAAAGAATATTCAGGAGAGATATATATAGATGTATTGGAGACGTATTGGATTGTATTGGAGACGAGCAACTTAAAGAAGGGCAAGATGTCAGGGTGAAAGAGCATGAAATCAAGAAACAAATAGTCGGTGACAGCAACATCATAGGGGTGGATGATTTAGAAGTTAGTTTGGTTGTACTGAACTACGGTGATGATGATAATAATCCAGTAGCAAAGTATCGGTTCTATTCGAAAAGTGAACATCAAGAACCGTTGAAGGCGAAGGAAATTAAGCCCTGCGAGTTTTCTAACATGCTGCCGGCGAAATTTGAGGAAAGAAGAATACAGGTTTTCTGCAAGAATCCAGGTTTTCTGCAAAAAAAAGCAATTGAAGCCAGAAAACGCTTTGAGGATTGGAAAAAAAAATAATTTTAAATCCTCTCAAGTCTTACAGCAAGCAATTCGTGTGTGTATGAGACCAAACCAATTTTTATATTGACCTTAATTGACAAATGTGAATCGTTACAGTGAATGTTTATAAAGATTTCACTTATGAATTAGATTTACATTAGATTTTTAAGATATAAATACGTTTGAATTTCTTTTCAATGATAAGAAATTGATTTACTTCCGTATAGAATATTAGCTACAGATTTCCATTGTATATATATTGTTTTAGTTTTTGATGCTCTTAGTATTATTATTGATTAATTTTCGTGCAAGATTGACATCTACTCAATTTCTTATGTTACAATATTAACAAGCTTAAATGTTATATTACATGCTATATCAATTAAATATATGTATATTATATTAAATCAAATAAATATATATCATAGCAAATTTATGTAAATCATGCGTATTTTGAGATGGTGTTATTTATACTGGGACAATCAGTATAACAGGAAAGCTAGCGTATTCATTGTTGATGTGTGTAGCAATTAACATAATGATATCAAATATGCTCGAAATCAAATAAATAGGCTTTTATGTCTTATCGAGGGTTATCTTCAATTCCATAGAGTGGGCTTCATACAAAACGCATGGCTGTTATGTGAAGGCTGGTCCATAAAATTTTTTTGAGCGTTCGTTTGTCCGACTTGACACGATTTTGACCTGCCAATTTATTAGTTATGCTTGGAAATGTGTTTCCAAAGTAGGCAGTGTGGTAAAATATACTTTAAAAGATTCTCAAACAAAATATTTGCCACGTCTTCAGTAAGATAGCTTCCAACAATGGCATGTCTACAAATCATTGAAGGCGGAAACTGTTAAAATTGTTTTATTTAATGCAGACAATGTAGGCTTGTTTATCATAGCAGACTGATAAATTTTGTAAATCAGGATAACAACTACGATACAAGATATTTGTGATACAGATATTTGAACTGATATTCCTTCCTATCAAAATCAAATGACTTTTTTAATGATGGACGTTTGAATTGCTTCGTGAGTTATGGTGATCGGATCGGATACTACACGATATGAATTTGATTTGTACGGTGTCTAGATAGCTTTTGTTTTGCTGTTATGAGGATATCGAAAAAAATATTGCTACATCACAAAAACATTGCATCTTTTGGAGTATAAATATATAATATATATATTTTTAATTTGAATAAAAAAGCATTACTTGCATGCAAGGTTTCATCTAAGCTGCGCAACTGCGCAATTGCGCAGTACCATCAAAACATTTGCGCAGTAAAATCTTATTATCGCGCAGTTGCAACGTTTCGTTTTTAAAGCGTTACTCATATTTTCATATGTCATTTTATTAACGCTTAACTAAAATGCTCATTCTATGTTTCACGCGTATTTTGGTGATCACTGGTTATTGTGATGTCACACATTTGTCTGTCACGCCCAAGTACCTTGATCTCTGTATGCCAGCGCGGGCCAGTTTCTCATCTGGAAATTTTCATCGCGAGCTCTGAATTTTGTGTTGTCGACCCCGCAAATCTTGTTATTGTCCGTAGTGAAGTTAACACAGATGAAGATAGAATTTTAGGTACTCCTGTTGCGCATACTTCAGGTTGTGCGACATCTTGGTGCGCATACTTCAGGAGGTCTGAATTTTAATACGTATCAAATGTGCCCACTGTTTGTTACAGGAAATTTGCTCGAATCTCGATATTGGGATACTTGAGCTTATACTGAATGATACCGGCTTATACTGAATGATACCGAATGATTATATAATAAGTATTTTTCAACGTGAATCACCAGAATTTACTAAATAGCATCTTTGTATCATGTGAATACGGATAGATTCACCCGTACAAAAGCATAGAAGGAGAAGTAGTTAGTGCCGCAGAAACCAAATCCTTATTCACAAGTCAATGGATTGAGAAATATTTTCATCAATATACTAGCGTTCTTTATCTTGCGTGTGAGTAAAATGTATATTCAAGGAAGCAAGACTAAAAATATGATATGATATACCGGTATGAATAAGCTAAAAAAAAACTGCTAATATTTGCTAAATTTATTGCTATTCCGCGTCAAGGTATGTTATAATCTACAAAGTTTGTCGGGAAGTGGCACCTGATAGTGATTTGGAAAAGTCAAATTGCGGGTGGCAATGGGAAGTTGACTATCTAAAACGCCATTTAAACTATAAAAGCACATTGACGCACTAGATGCATTATCTCAGAAGCGAAACGTGGGTGCAAGAGAAGGTTGTCCGAACTTTTTCACCGCAATACCGACCGCTGAAAAGAGTGAAGTTTTGAAAACCCCGTCAAGTGAAAAATAAAGCGCACATAGATAGTGTTCTACCATGTGCAAAGTATTAAATAATCGTATGTCAAAATACATTAAATTGCCATGTTCTGCTTGAGTTTGATAATCCACAAAAGTTAAAACAAATAATCCAGCTACTCCATGACTGCCATTCACCCGGTACAGGACACTGAAGATAGGTAAAATAAGAAGTTTTATATTATGCTTCACAACATATCAGTTTCTGATTAGATTGATTCTTTGAAAGCCCGCAGATAATTACAATTTACAAATATAAATTTTTTTGTGTGTAAATTAAATTTGGAGACTATATCAAAACAAATGTTATGCTTTTTATATCACATATTTATAAAACGTTCGCTGCTAACAAGGCTCTGCACAAGCAGGTACAGCTGGTATAGAGCTACTATAGTTTTTGCTTCAACGGAATCTTTTGGGTTTGGCAGTGCCTATTCAATTTATCACATCCAGGAAGGACTTGAGCTTGAACCCTAACTTTGAACCTGCGATGCCATCATAGTTAGATCCAACACTTCAACTACTAGGCAGGCGCGCAAGGTTCCCTCTAAGCTGCGCAACCGCGCAATTGCGCAGTACCACCAGAACATTTGCTCAGTAAAATCTCATTCTCGCGCAGTTACAACATTTCGTTTTCAAATCGTGGCTCATATTTCATATGTCATTTTTAATAACAATGACGCTCAACTAGAATGCTCGTTTTATGTTTCACGCATATTCTGGTAAACACTAGTCATTGTGATGTCACACACCTGTCTGTCACGAATACCTTGATTTTTGTATGCCAGCGTGGGTCGGTTTTTAAAATTTTCATCGCCGCTCTGAATTTCGTGTTGGCGACCCGGCTAAATCTTGTTATTGTTCGTAGTGTAATCAAACAGATGAAGATATGGGAAAATTTAGAATTTTAATAGGTATCAAATGTTGCAAAGCTGGTGCCCATTGTTTGTTACAGGAAATTTGTTGGTTGCTCGTAGCCGTATGGTTAGGCTAAACCGTAAATATATGGCTAAACTAGTTGGAATTTGAAGAAGGGCTGAGTTTAAGCGAGTGCTAGCACTGTTGGCTCCTAAATCTCTAGATTGGTACACACGTGGCCATGAGCTTATACTGAATGATACCGATGTTATATAGCGATGTTGTGAGTATGTTTCACCAGAAATTTCTAAAAAAAAGTTTTAAGCGTTTTCATATTCAGCATATTAACCAAAACCAATAATATACTAGTTTTCTTTATCTGACGTTTGTGTGTGAAATGTCTATTCAGGGAAGTAAAGCTAAAAATAAGAAAATCCTTTTTAAAGTGGAATGGCTAAATACAACAGTGAAGTGTTCGACACTAATTTGCAATCTTGATACCGGCATGCATAAGCTAAAACAACTGCTAAACTTTGCGAAATTTATTGCTATTCCACGTCAAGGAATGTGATAATCCACAAAGTTTGTCGGGAAGTGGCACCTGTTAGTGATTTGGAAAAAGAAAATCATGGGAGGGAATAAGAAGATGATTATTTAAAACGCCATTTGAATAATAAAAAGCACATTGACGCACTAGATGCATTAACGATTAAGTGAAACGTGGAAGCAAGAGGAGGTTGTTCGAACTTTTTTTTTTTTCGAACCGCAATACCGCCCGCTGAAGAAAGTGAAGTTTTGAAAACCCCATCAAGTGAAATGAAGCATCACATAGATAGTGTTCCACCACGTTTTAAGCTGAATTCATCAATATTGTCCCGCAAATTAATAAATAGTCGCATGTCAACATACACTAAATTGCCACATTCAAGCAAAAATTATGGCTTCGAATTTTTGATAAGCATAGACTTTGTCGCCAGGGAAAAAAATCATTCGGAGCATAAGACAAGCAAAATTTCATACTCTGATTTTGATAAAAAAGCAATGATATTTCAACAACAAAAATGTCGAGATTGTACATCAAGTATTGTACTTTGGATGATTGTCGCTTGATTCAGCAATAAACACAACAAACACGGACAAAATGTATAAACCTTGGAAAGGCACGAAAACAAAAAAAGCTATTTGAGTTAAACGTGTGCTTTGTTCGCATTCCGATGATATATAATAGGCTACTATTACAACATTTCACAAAGTTTGCAAATAATTTAGGATTCTGCTCAGCCCTAAAATAGTCTTGCTCAGTAAAAACAATATTTGCGCAGTGTGAAATTTTCTTAGAGGGAACACTGCAGGCGCGCCAACGATTTTTGATGACAAAGAATTAATAACAGGCGAAAGTCACTGGATCCTTGTTACAGGGTATTGTATCACTCTCATCACCAACACAATCTATTCCGCCATATTGTGGGACAGGATTTCTACATAACCTCATTCTCTTCTGTTTAACGGTTCCACAGGCTACATCACAAGGAAACAGTTTTAACCCAGGCCGTCCAATTACCGATGATAGAGCATGGTTGGTGTCCGCATTGTCTAATCTAGGTCTGTAACAGACGGAATGTAAAAATATCGCACATGGTGTTTGTCGCGATTTTTTTCCGGAAAATATTCATCTTGACCACAATTTGGGTTTACATTGCATATAGCAGTGTAGTAGTAGTAGTATGAAATGAGGAAGGATGTTTGCTGTGGACTACAATATTTTCCCGACTATTGAATGCTATAGTGTTCCTTCATTAACCTGCTTAGAA